CTGCCCACTAGTATTTGTTCTCCCCTCATGATTGAGGGGAGGTCATAAGAAGAGTCTGTTTGCAGCTTGCACCCTGACTCCACCAACTCATCCGCTGTAATTTGCATAAATGTCTCCCAAGGGCTCATGGGTTAAAGATTTGGTACACAGCTGTGGGAATATTGAGAGACATGGAAACATCAGAGACGGGACCTACTGGGACAACATAGGACATTTGTGTAGTTCCTCAGTCAATACTGGGGCTGATCTCTGATGAAAATGTCTTGTGATACAGGAGGGGAGGGCCAATAGCCACTCTGTTTACTTCAGGAGTGTTCTGTCATATGTTCTCAAGGAGAACAAAGGCATCCCTTGAGGAATCCTAAAGATAGTTTAAGAAAAGTGCATGTTGTGCTTGAGCTGATAACAATGGGGCCAGTACACAAAATTGACCCACATCCTGCAACTGCAAGGCCACGGCCTCCCTCCAAGTCACTCTATGCTCCATCTTCAGAGTCCTTAGCTGACCCTCAGGACAGGTCACTTCTGCAGCTTAGGCACAAGGCACTTCATACATATATTTTCTATTTTCATTGCTGACTCCCACAACTGGAGGAGTGCCCCTGAAGAGGATTGTGGGATGCTGCTCCCTTCCTGCCTCTCCCTGCTTCCCAGCTGCCAGGAGGTGAGCCTCACCTTAACTGTGCCCATTCTTAGCATTGTGTTCTTTTGAGCTCTGACTAGGTTTGTACATCAAGCACAACTCACAACATTCTAGGGCTTCTCTAGCCTGGATCTCCAAGCCTTGCCAAATTTCATGCACAGACCACTTCCAAAGCTGTTGGACAACATGGTCAACTTCAATCATATCATTGGCTGTGCTCCTCATACTAATTATTTGTATCAGTAACTTTCCTCTCAGGGGGACATGATACCAAACCTGTGCTACTTAATGGAGGATCAGGTTATTTTGACTCACAAGCTCAGTGGATGCTTGCTCTGAGACAAAAAAACCTGGCATGATGGTGTGGCAGATGAAAGCTGGCCATGTCATCACAGCTAAGAAGCAAGGAGAGAAGAGAGTGCAGGGAGACCTCAGTGGCTACACACTCCATAGAGATGGGGTGAGAATTCACGCTCCACATGTATCTCAGTGGTCTCCCTCTTCTAAATGTCCCCACCCCCAACTGGGAGACCTGTGCACATTGTTTTAGATGCAAATCATAAACTATATCTCTCCAGAAAAAAGAAACATTGTAAGAGAGATATTTCATAGACTTAGATCATGTGATCCTGACATCTGACACATTTGAAGTCTGTAGGGCAGGCTAGCAGATTGGAAACTCATACAGCATTTATTTGTCCTAAAGATTTTCATTTTAGTTGTACTCAACATGCAGAAATTATGCACAGTGATGGAGTTTTGTGTGATACATCACAGCACGGAGACAGTGGGCACTAGTCACACCAGTCTTGCTTTGTCCAATCTCCCCACACTCCCTTCCCCACCTCTCCTAAAGCCTGTTGACTGTTTCTTAGGCTTCTCCACAGGAGCCAGCACATGTACTGCTTCACATTATGTGCCTGATTTATTACACTTAACAAAATTCCCTCTAGTACAAGCATATAATATTTACAAAATTTTTATTGTATTTTATTTTTTTTGGTACCAGGTATCAAACTCAGGATCTTGTGCTTACCAAGCAGGTGCTTGTGCCACTGAGCTATATCCCCGGCTCTTTACACAGTTTTTAAAGTTTAAAATTTTAGATTTGTACAGACAAATCCTACAAATAGCTTAAGCAAGCTCCCAAAATGTGTGAACACTTCCTAGAGATAACTGCAAAATTTAACCAACATTTTCACGTAAAAGGACTTTGATATAAATAGAGCAACATATCACATTCAATGATGAGTAGTATAAAATTTTTAATTTCTTTAAATTCCTTGTAGTTCAAAAAAAGACAAAACAGTGTGGGCTAGTGCAGCTTCATCCTGAATGCACACAGCAAAACAGCAGAAGAGAGCAAGAGAAGAGAGAAGGAGATACAGAGAAAGAGACAGAGATGGAGGGGCAAAGGGACAATGAAAAAAGCCCTAGCAGACACACATAAGCAACCAAATGTAAACATCAAAGCGTAATCCCGGGGGAGACTGGAGACTGTTCAACTTGTACTTGTGTTTGATGACAGGCGGGGGAGCAGGTGGAAAGTGAGCCCTGCATAAGTGACCCATGATAGACTGAGACAGAGGAAAGTTTTAAACTTCCTGCCTGTAGGACACTGCAGTTTGAGACTGCACTTCTCACCAGGGATGTTAATCACTCAAGGCAACAAAAACAATTCTCACCAACAAAGGCAATGCAGGGGGCATTACAATTCCTGCTTGAACTTATATTACAAACCTTCTGTGATAAAACCAAGCTACTGGAGAAAAAACTTACTTGATGATCAGTGAAACAGAATAGAAGATGCAAAAACAACTCCAAACACACTCTACCTTATCTTTGACAAAGGAGCCAAACACGCTCACTGGAAGAAAGAGTGCCTCTTTAATTAAGGATGCTGGAAAAACTGGTTTTCTACTTGCCAAAGACTCAAACTACACCCATGTCTATCATCATGCACTAAATTAACATTGAAATTGATCAAAAACCCAAGTATTAAAACAGAAACACTAAATCTGCTGGAAGAGAGAATAGGCACAACTCTTGAATGTACAGGTGTAGGCAAAGATTTTGTGAGCAAGACCCAGACTTCACAGGAAATAATGCAAAGACTCAATGACTGCAACCTCCTCCTCCAACAAATAAATCACCAACAGAGTGAAAAGACAACCTACAGAGTGGAAAGACAACCTACAGAGTGGAAAATAAATTACCCAGTTGTTGATCAGACCATGGACTTATGTCTAGAACATATGAAGAAATGAAAAAATAGACCCCCAAAATAAAATACCCAATAAAAATAGACACCTGAGATGAATACATACCTCTCCAATGAAAAAATACAAATGTCAAATGAATATATGAAAAAATGTCCAACATCACTGGTTATTAGAGAGATACAAATTGAAACAGTGCTGAGACTCCACCTCACTGCAGAAAGAACAGTTATCATTGAGAAATCAACCAATAAAAAATGCTGGAGGGGCCATGGGAAAAGAAATACCCTTTTCAACTGTAGGTGGGAGTGCAGACTGCTGCAACCACTCTGGAAATCACTGTGGAGATTTCTCAGAAAAACTAGGATTAGAGTTCCCATTCCATCCAGCTATTGCCCTTCGGGGTATTTTCTTGGAAAAATTAAAAATATCATACCACAGCACTATATGTGCACCCATTTTTGTAGAAGCAGCACAGTTTGTAATAAGTAAATCTTGGAAACAACCCAAATACCCATCAACTGAGGAATGGATAGTGAAGGTGTTGGTTTTTTATTTATAATGGAGTACTACTCACCCATAATGAAGGGAAAACTTGAAGCATTTCTAGGTAAATGTATGCAATTTAACCATACTCACACGTGTAAACATTATGTTTTCTCCCCAGTGTGTGAAACTGGAAGAGTAAATAAGGGCCAAAATGTACAACAGTGTGAAATGGGAAGAAATTGTTCAAACAGAAAGGAAACTAGAATGGGGTGAGGGGGAAAGGAAGAAGGCAAAAGGAAAAAAGCAATAAACAAAACATGATAAAATGGAAACAAAGGTTTGTACATAGGTAGGGGAAGATGGGATGATGGGAGGAGGGAAGATTGGGGCAAAAAAGAAGAATTACTATATATCATTGAAGGCTACACATTCCCTGTGGTGAATACGATCACACATGTACACACATGCTCATATTCCCTGCACTCTCTGTGCATCCCGGGGTGGAAAGGTGGCGAGAATGAGAAGATAAACAAGAGACAGTAGATGGCTCAGTTGGAGAACCCTCTCTCTTGAGCAACGGAGAGGAACAGCACTTATTTATACCCCACACGGGTCACTAAATTCATCCCCTCTACCCAGCAATCAATTAACAAGCTGCAACAGCATGTTGACGTTCTTTGAGGGGCTCTGTGTTCTCTGGCTGGCTTCATCCTGCAGATGTAATTATTTTCCAGCTACAGCCACTATATATATGATGTACCAATAAACGAAATTGAAACAAAATACAATTCCTGCCTCTACAACAGTGCACAATTTGACACCACCACACACCAGAGATATTAATACTCTGGGGCAACACAGCAAGAGCAGGAAATTGGAGATATTATGGATTGGGGGACTGAAGTAATAAGTCCTTGAAACCACCCTGGTGAGTGAGGCCTGACTTTCAAAACAAACACTATTTTGACAAATATAAAGAATGCACTAGAAACAGTATAGCGAGTACAAGAATGAACAATGTATAGTAGCATTAGTTATTCAATAATCAAAGACGAGTCTCCCTTCACCTCATGGGACTCTGGGCATCTGGTCAGTGGTCTGGGATGTAGAAATTGAGGAACATATCCAAGGGGATCCAAGAACCAAGCAGAAAACCACTAGGAGGATGGAATGGACCTAGAGAGCCATTTTCTGCACCTGCTGACACGTTCCCAGACCTGAATTCTACTGACTGCAGAGTAGTCCAATCAGAACTAAGTGAGGAACTTCATCTGAATTCCTTGGCTCAGGGGAAGGGAGCAGAGAGGATCGGGGTACACATGAGGATCAAGGTGAGAAGAGACAACGGACTGAGGAAGCTCTGCCCAGTGGAAGGGCCAGCAAATTACCAAGATCTAAGCCTGTGGTGAGCCCTGGAGCACACAGGGGCTGAATTGTTACAATGAGTCTCAGGCTTGTGTATCCCGGGAGGTAGATACATAGTATCAAGGGAATGAGCTCAAGTCCATAGAGGAAGGTGGTTCCCGCTCTGCCAGGAACCAAGCGGCTGAACCTCCAGTCAGGACTGAGGGGACCTTGGAAATTCCGTTCCGCTCCTGCTGTGAGGCCTGGGAGACCCCGGGCACAGTTCCTCAAAGGAAGTCCCAGACTGTGGCGAAGGCTTTGAGTCAGGGCTGCTGAGGTCCCGTTCTGAGGCGTTGGTCTCAGGTGAGGGGAATTTTGTGGGTGGGCTCGGTTAGGGCTCAAGCTGACAGGCTATTGGGGGAATGAGGAAGTTCACCGCCTAAAGAGGGTCCCCCGAAAGTCCGGTTCTTCCTCGGTGGAGAGCCTTTATTACGAGAAAGCATTCTCAGTGGGGAGCACTCGGGGCTCAGGGGACGTGATGCGCAGTGTAAGGCCCAGATCTGAGATTCGAGCTTTAGGGGGAAGAGTGCACAGGGCCTGGGATCCGGGAGGTCAGAGTGCGGGTCTGAGAGGGAGCTGCCAAAGCCCCAAGGGAGAAAGAAGGTCCCAGAACATTCTAGAAAAGCCTCTATTTTCTCCTGCACACTCGGTGCACAGTTCTCATGACAGCGCCCCCTTTGGTCCCAATGGGAACTGCACGCGGTGTCAATTGTTTTGTTTTCTTTGGTACTGGGAATCAAACTCAGGAACTTGCACTTGCCAGGCAGGGAATTGACCACTGAGCTAGCTCAGAGTTTTGTTTCCAAATCTTTGCTTCAGGTTGGAGGAACAGGGAAGGCCAGAGCTTAGATCAAATTTGCGGGACCGGGAAAACTGCAGGGGTGTCCCAGCCGTGTAGAAAAGGAGCTGTGGCCTGCCTGGCCCCCGTGCTGCAGAATTCTCAGGAGAGTGCCCCTATTTGCCTCTGTGTGACTTTAAAGGAGCACCACAGCCTAGTGCCAGGCATGTACATACATATATGTGAATATGTGTACACAAGTGTATATTTGTATATATGTATATATTTGCAGTGTGTGATGAGCACAATCCTTATGTGTATGTATGTATATTCAAATATATCTATATTTTATGTATATGAATATTTCTACCTGTTTGTAGTACATACTGATCACATTCCTCATAGAGACGTTGTTCATGGGCACACTTCACAATTCTCTATCTCTTTTTGTACTTTTTCTTTTTAAGGCAGGGTCTTGCTGTGCAGTTCAGGCTAGCCTTGAGCTCACTTTTTAGCTCAGGCTAGTATCAAACTCACGACGATCCTCCTGCCTCAGCCTTCCAAGTACTGGGATTACAGGCATGCGCTACCACACCCAGCTAACAATTCTCTCTTTTTTATTTGATTTCCCTCCTTTCCATCCTACCTCCCGCTATTTTTGCCTATTTACTATTATCAGCCTTTCATTTTGCCCTTTATTTAGAGCTTAGGTTCCTCATATTACAGAAACAGGTATTTTAAACTTGTATGTCTGATTTGTTTCGCTTAAAATTATGGTCTCAAGGTACAGCCATTTTCCTATATATGACTTAAGGCTGTCCTTTTTATGCCAAAGTAGTACCCCATTATGTATAAATACTACATTTTCATTATCCATTTATCTATTGATGGCAATAAAGGTCACTGTTAAGGTTTAGCTGTTATGAATGGTGCTGCTATAAACATGGATACACATACATCACAATAATATGATGTCTTTAATTCTTTTCATAAAATAACTAGAAGGGGAATATGTGGGTTAAATATAAATTCTAGTGCTTGTTTCTAAAGATTCTCCTATCTGATTTTTATAGTGGTTGTACCAGTTTACACTCCCACAATCAATGAAGAAGTATCACTTTTTCCTGGTAGGCTTGCTAGCATTTGCTATTGTTGGATCTCTTGAAGGTAATAATGCTTTCTGGAGTGAGACAGAAGTACACTTTGTTTTAATTTGCATTTCCTGAGAGGTTAGTAATGCAGAATATTTTTTCATGTACTTATTGGCCATTTGTAGTACTGAATCTGAGAAGTATCCTTTCATTTAGATGAGCATTTCTTGGTTGGGTCCTCTAACTTGGAGGTCCTAATTTCTTTTAGTTCTTCATATATTCAAGATATTAGCGGTTGGTATGAGGAATAGCAGGCAATAATCTTTCTAATGACAAGTTGTCTGCTCACTCTGGTGAGTGTTTGCTTTACTGCACAGAGCTTTTTCATTTGATTTGATTGCATTTATTCTTTCTTGTTAGTATTTTTTGGGCAGCTGGTGTTGTCCCAAGAATCACTGTCTATGCATATGTCTCGCTGAGTTTTAGGTAAGTTATAAGGAAGCAGATTGTTTCCCCTTTTAATATTTAAATTTCTTATTGATTTTTATTTACTTTAGTGCATGGTGAGAGATTATGGTTATAAGTTCAACATTTGACACTTGGATAGGCAGTTCTTACAGCACCATTTCTTAAAGAGGCTTTGTCAAAGTAAAGTATTTTGTCCCCTTTTCAAATCAAAGTTAGTTGTGTTGCCTGGAATTATTTCTGTATCCCCAATTCTATTCTGTTGATGCAAAAGTCTGGTTTTTTTTTTAAATTTTGTTTTGTTTTGTTTTTTCCAGTATCTTGTGGTTTGCTCACTGTAAATTTGTACTATAATTTGAAGTGTGGAATTATGATGCCCCTGCCTTGCTTTTGTTGCTCACTATTGCTTATGCTCTTCTAGATCTCTTCTGGTACCTTGTGAATTTTAGAGTGGTTTCCTCTTGCTCTTTGACGAATACTATTGGTATTTTCACTGAGATTGCATTCAATCTGTATAATACTTTTGAGTCATTTTGACTATATGAGAGCTGTGTATGCAGGAACAGGGGATGTCTTTGCATTTTGTGATATCCTTCTTAATGACCTTTTCAAACTAATAATATTCCTTGTAGAGGTCTCTCTTTCCCTTGGTTAGATTAATTCCTAAGGACATAAGTTTTGCAATGCTATTGTGAATGCTCTGTTTGCCTAATTCCTTTCTCAGTCAGCTTCTTATTGGTATATAAGAATAGTATTGATTTTCTGTGTTGATTTTGTCACCTGCTACATTACACAATTTGGTTCTTTTTTGTTTTGTTTTGTTTTGTTTTGTTTTGTTTTGCTTTTTTGTTTTTTTTGGTTTTTCTCTGGTACCAGGAACTGAACTCATGACCTTGCGCTTGCCAGGCAGGTGCTTTGCCACTGAGCTAAATCCCCAGCCCCTTGGTTCTTAATTGTAGGAATCTTTTGGTGTAGTTTTAGGGGTCTTGCAGGGAGAGTATCATGTCATCTGCAAATAAAAATAATTTAGCTTGTTTCTTTCCCATACAGATCCCATTTATTTCTTTCTCTTGCCTATTGTTCTGGCTAATATTTTGAGAGCTATACTGAACAGGAGTGGTTGAATAGATGTCTTTGTTTTCTCCTGAATTCAGTAGCAAGACAGCTTCCCCCAGTTTATTATGTTAGCCATTGATTTGTCATAGATGGCTGTAATCAGATTGCAATAAGTTTCTTCTATGCCTACTTTCTTCAGGGCCTTTATCATGAATGGATGTTGGATTTTGTCTAATGATTTTTCTGTGTCTGTCAGTATGATCCTGCAATTTTTGTCTTGTATCCATTTATGCAATGTATTACATATATTGAATTACACATGATGAACGACCTCTGCATCTTGCAATGTATCCTACTTGATCATGATGTACGAATTATTAATGATTTCCTGCTTGCTCTTAGTACCTCATTGAGGATTTTGTATCTGTGTCCCTTAAAGGCTTTGCCTTGTAACTGTTTATTTTTGCTGTGCCCATTGCTTGTTTTGGAATTAGGGTAACGCTTGCTTCCAGGAATGACACTGGGGGTACTGCTTCCCTTTGCATTTCAGATGACGGATTGAAGAATCCTGGCACTGGATCTTACATGAAGTTCTTGTAGAGTTCAGCAGCACCTGCACTGTGCCTGGTCTCTCCTTAGTTGTTATTTATTATTATTAATTCTTCAGTTGATGGACAGAATCTGGACTATTCAATTGTTTATATCGAGCACACTTTGATAGCTCACCTGGGAGAGTGGAGAATTATAGACCTGACAAAATGCTCTTTCCTTAGTTAGGTAGTGTATATTGTATCAGAGTTCATACATTTATTCTAAATTATCCATTCAATTCATGTATATATTCTTAAAGTAGTTGCCAGTGATCTTCAGAATTTTGGCAGAATCTGTTGTGATTTCACCTTTTCATTTCTAATTACATGTGTTTGAGTTTTTACGTACTTTCTGTTTCAATTGGCTCAGGTTTTATCAAATTTGTTTATCTTTTCAAAAAACCAGCTCCTCAATGCATTGATTCTTTGTAGTTTTTAGACTCATTTTCATAATTCCTGCTTCCACTTTTGCCATTACTTTCTTCATAATAGCTTTGGATTTGAATTGCTCTTATCATTCTCTCACCTTGATGTGTGTATTAATATTTTGGGTTTTTTTTTTTGAGCTTGCTGTTTCTATGCTGTGTGCATTCATTACTATACATTTTCCTCTTAGGACTACTGTCATTGTGTCTCATATGTCCTAATGAGATGGGGTGGCATTATCATTTGATTGTAGATGTCTACAGAGTTCCATCCAAAAATGGAATATACATTCTGATGTGCAACCCATGAAACTTTCACCAAAATATTGTAGAGCACTTGCTAGCCCAGAAAGCATGCTTAAGTAAATGCAAATGAATGGAAACCATTCCATGCACATAATCAAAGATAGTACAATGATTGTAGAAATCACACAAAGTATCATTTGATTGTGGGAACTAATTCCTTTCTTGCTATTTTCCTTGACACACTGATTACTCAAGAGGGTATTGTTTACTTTCCGTATGTTTACAAGGTTTCTTTGTTATCTTTTGCCACTGATTTCTTGTTTCATTGCACTGTATTCTGATAATATGCACAGAACGATTTCCATTCTTTTGCATCTATTTAAATGTCCTTTTTGGGCTAGCATGTGATCTGTTTTGGAGTAAGTTCCATGTGCTGTAGAGCAGAGTGTGTATTCCACCGTTGGGTGGCTATAGATATCTGTCCAGCCCATTCGTTCAAAGGTTTGGTTGAACTCTGATATTTCTTTGTTTATTTTCTTTCTAGCAGACTGATCTATTTGTCACAGTGTGGTATCATCAGAGTGGGGTACAATAACTCCATGACTTATGAACACTCCACTTGCAAACAAATTGTAGAAGCAACTCACGTGTATGTCAGACATTGTCACAGGAGTACTGCTATGTGCTTACTGTATATTGAGATAGGGTACAGTGGTACAGTACAGTCGGAAACTTACTGTATTAGTTTGTGTTTTCTTTTTTATGCTTTACATTGTATACTTGTGTCAAAGTTGTATAAGCTCACTTATTGGACTTACAAAATAATCCGACTAATGAACGTCCTCAAGAAAGGAACTCACTTCTAAGTCAAGGACTTACATTATTATAATTGTATTAGTGTTTCTCTGCCTTTTAATGTGTCTATTAGTGTTTCTTTCATAATGCTGGGCGTGCTGGTTTCTGTTATAAATATGTCTATAATTGTTATTTCTCCCTGTTTAAGTGCTGCTTTAACCAATATGTGGTGACCTGCTTCGTCTCTTCTGATCAACTTTGACTTAAAATTCATTTGGTTTGAAATGAAGATAGCTACTGCTATTTTTCTTTGGATTTCTGTTGCATGGAATGTTGTTCTCCATCCTTTGATTTCCAATCTATGAGTCTTAAATTAAATATGATTTCTGTGTACTCTGTACATTGATTTTTTTTCTTGATTTATTCTGTCGATATTTGTTGTTTGGGGAATTGACACTTTTTCCACTGAGAGTTATTCCTGGAAGATATTGCCTTATTCTTCTAATTGCATTATTTGCCTGCTGCTGATTCCTTATTTTTTTTATCATTCGTCTTGGAGCTCATCCAGTCAGATGGATTCAGTACATTTGACTTATTGGCATTGTTATTGCATTGTCTCTTTCTAGCATGTCTTGTGAGTATTATTGTAATGCTTATTTGGTGGTCATGGATTTCTTGAGGTGCTTTTTGTCATGAACACAATTCAATTTCACCCCACATTTTTAAGTAAAGTTTTCCAAGACATATATATGTGGACTGAAAATTGTTATACTTTAGCACTTGAAAAACTTTACTCCAAGCTCTCCAAGCCCATATGTTTTATGTTGACAATTTGGCAGTTATTCTAGTCAGTTTATATTTATATTATTCATTTATGTTCTAATTTATAAGATTTTCTCCCTATGTTGGACTTGCGTTGTTTGGACAATGATATTACATGTAAAGGCTCGCTTTTAGAAATTGCTATTTGTTGCTGTACATACCGTACTTAGCTGTATGTTTATGTTGTTACCAGGGTTTAAGAAGTTATCTGCTATTTTTTCTGTAACATTTTTTTTGGACATTTGTAGTATCTACTGATTTTTCATATATTTGTATTATTCTGTGATTGGTCTTTCTTGGTTCATCTTGCAGTTATTGAATCCATTTTTCATATTTTCTTGGGGCTTTAAATGTGTCTTTGCATACTTTTTCATTGGAAGCATCCCCATATTTTCATCCTGAAAACCTGTCCTCATACTGGTTGCTTCTGTTGCCCATAGTTTCTATAAAATTTTAATCTCCCACCTGATTATTATCCTTTCATGGATTCTCCTTTTTTTCCTCACCTGTTCATGCATGTCTTCTATTATTTTCTTTAACTCAACTACCTTTTTATTAATGTGTTCTAAAAGCTCCTTGATAATTTCAGTTATTATTTTTATTACCTGTTTAGTTATATCTTTTGAAATTATGCATAGCACTTAATAGATTTATTTTCTAACCTCCTCTTATCCTTCCAAGTAATTTGGATGTGTTGTTTATATTATTCTCCCCCTTAATCCTCTTTGGATTAGCTTTGGCAGAGTTGGGAGTTTTGGCTGCCATTTTGTTGGTTTGTCTTCTCATGTTTCTGTTATTTTCTGTTTGTTTTGTTCTGTGCTAAAGTTGGTGGCACTTAAAGTTGAAAAACATTTTGCTAGCATAGCAATCCCTTTAGTTAGTCTACTTTACAGTGATGGAATTTGGGCAAGGCCGACGATGTTCCTTTCACTGACTTTTAAAATCGAACCATGTGTCTTTAATTGGAAAGAGGATATGGAGAGTAATTGCCCCAAAACCATGGTCTGAACTCATGCTGGTATATTATTAATGTCAAAGAGGAATTGTGGGTGTTAGCATAGAAAGAAAAACCATTAACAGCAACGTTTATGTGACCCTGGCAATTTCAAGCTAATCAACCTACTGTGAAACTGTCCAAAACAAAATGCACATTAACATACCATAGAAAAAAATCAGGTATTGTCCTTAACCATAGGAAAGAAATCCTCCATTATAGTATAACCACTATGAAAAACCTGATATTGGCACACATCTAATATGTACTAAATGTAACAGCTGTGGCTCTGCTACTGATAGAAAAAATTTCCTGGAAGTTTTATGCAGTTAAACTTCTAAATATTATTAAAGGTTAATGGTTTATAGTTAAAGATATATCTAGCTGCAGAAGGGGGAATGCAGGAAGAAAAAAATTTAAAATTATGCACGAGCATATGAGAAAGAAGAGAAAAACGGTGGCACAAGTGGGTGATCCTATAAGTGTCTAGAAGGATGTCTATAAAGTTAGCAAGGAAAAGAGGAAAAACACAAAGAGAATTGGAAGTTAGCAGAAATAAAGGGATAAAATATTAGAAATTATATGGATAATAAAATTTTAAATATGTATAAGGGGAACATTTAATGGAAAAGAGCAAAATAGAAAAAAGATAAAACAGAAAGAAAGAAGACAAGCAAAATATTTCTTGGTGATGCTGAATGAGCAGTTGCGTATCTGGATGTGGAATTTTGGAGTCTCAAAGTTCTCCATTTTCTGAGGCCCCCTATGGTTTTCCAGAACTCTGCTGCGTCCAAGTCATGCAGTGCTGTTGCTCACACTGCTGAATAAGGAAGGCAGCCAGACCCCATATCTGTGCTGGAGGCAGGCAGAAGGGCAAGGGCTGGAATATTTAAGGCTGAGACTTTCAAGTCCAGAGCAACTCAGGCTGGGCCTGGCCGTGGGCTATGTGTGGCAGGTCTTTGCCATTCCCACCCTAATCCCAAGCACTCAGGGGTCTTTTGCCAGACTGCTTCCTGCCCAAAGCTGTTTCTTGTTGCTGTCACTTGCACAGTCACTGTGGGCAGGTGGCACTGAAGTGAAGCCATCCCAGTTCTGAGTCCCAGGATGAAACCACTAAGCCTTTCCCCCACTGAGGACCATGCCCTCATTCTCCCCAGGGCTAGGGCAGCATCTGTGTTCAGGAAAATTACCCGCCTTTACCTGTCCAGCTGAACCCTACACTGTCCCTGCAGATGTCAGCAACCTCTGGTCCACGAATCCAGAGCTTCTCCCTAAAGCTCTCTGCAGTCCTCAGGTTTTCCTTGATTCTACAAACTCAACGTCCATTTGATATGAGCCAGGAAACAGGAAGAAAGCCCAGACTGTTTTGTATCCTCTCTACATTATAGTCTTTCTCTTCAAACTCATTGTACCGTTTCTTAATTTCTCTCTTATTTTCCTGGCTCAGGTTGTTGTCGTTCAGAGTCTGGATTCTGAATCTGTGGGAGACTGAACTGCTGCTGATCTCCACTCCTACACTTTCAAGCACAGAACACCTGAGGGTAACACACATTCCTATAAAGAAGGTCATGTACAGACCCTGGTTCCCCTGTGCTCACCCCGGTATTCCCGTGAGAGTGGCTTTGTGTGAATCCTTGTCATTTATGCTAACAGTTCAGGACAGGTAAACTCAATAATTTGAGGATCTTATTCCAAGACGTGATTCATGTCACCAGAGGGAGATTCATATAGTCAATAGAAGTAGGACCCCAAGAGCAGGCCAGTTTCATCTATCCAGACTTCCTAGGATGATGTGTGTCCTCTGTCTAGAAACCAGTGACCACTCAGAATGTGCCTGGTCCCCGGGTAAGCTGTTGGCGGACCTAGCTGGCTACAAATTTCTGCCACAGTTAGGAAAAGGGTCATCAGGGAGATGATGTCTTGGTCTCCAAGGGAGAGATCAGCTCATCTCACGTGGGTTGAGGGAGGACAGGTAGCAAGAAGAGGGTAATTAAGAAACTTTAGAAGCCCATAGGGGATTCCTTACTTATGCTCTTGGTCCTGAGACACAATACTTGACATCTGCAGTTTATTAAAAGAAAAGTTGCCTTGGAATCACAATTTATAGGTTTTTCACTGGACAGTCAGCCAGCTACCAGGCAGAATAGTAGACTGGAAGGGCCGGGGCGAAGGAAACCTGCTCAGCACAAGTCCTCCAGGAAGCAGAAGTTAAAAGGAGGAGCCAGGTCAGTTGACATAAACTTCCTTGTCACACCCAGTGACCTTCCTTTTCTTACCAGGTGCCATCACCTGAAAACAAGGGAGCGGTAAGCCACATACTGCAGATACCTTCCAAAGGTCCTCCCTCTGTGCTGCTGTGTCTTTCAGAGGGGATCTAGACCATAACCAGGGTCCCAATGATATGTGCACAGGTCTTGCTGCCAGCACTGATAGCCCCATGTGGGGATGACAGCAGGGCCATCTGCGCACTTATCTGAGATTCCTCAGGATCTCATGGAGGTGACAACCTACATCTGAGACATGTGTGCAGGCTGTGCTCAGGGAACCCCATCTGGTCAGGAGACACACAGGTGGCCCACGATCACTGAGAGTCAACATGAGGACCCTAAGGAAGGGTTTACGGTACTTCTCACCTGAACTCAGGGAAGTGGGTGCTCCACAGATTTGAACTTCCTTTTTTGGTCATCTGGGGAAGCTGGGGCAGGGCTGTCAGGCTGAGGCTGCTCTCTTACTTCTGCATCTCTGATCTCAGAAAGCTAAAGGCCTTGGTAGGAGGAAGGTGGGGCAAGGAGAGGAGAAAGGTTATCCAGAGCCCTGTCAGGAGTCTAGTTTTGGGCAAAGTGAAGCCCCACAGTTCAGCATGCAGCACACAGCCTCCACCTGTCTCTTTGTCCCCTGTCCTCAGACCCAGGAAAAAGAAGGAATGGACTCCCGTCTCTCCCTCTTGGAATGTGGCAGAGAGATAGGCCTGTGATTTCAAGAAGAGGGCACCTGACCATCCCTGGAGGAGCCCTAGACCTACCTATTAATACGTGGAAAGGGCAGCTTCCCATTCCTAGGGCGTATGGAACCCACAGAATTCGCCCACCTCCACCTGTTGCCTCCAGACAGCTTTACCCAGACTTGGCCCCTCACAGACATTCGTTCCCTCTCAGAGCAGACACTTTTTCTAAGAGTTTGCCTCATTCAGGCAGAGAGTTTGGAACCAGGCCCTGCTTAAGGACAGTTCAGGGCTCTGCATGAGCAGAGAGGTGACCATCCACCGGAAGAGTGGGAACTCAAAAGTCAAGTCAACCCCACATGTGAGGTCTGCTGGATCAGGACTGTGATTTAGGTCTGCAGCCTGAGGGCCCCCATGTCTCTTACAGGAGCTCCAGGAAGCAGGAGGGGAAGGTCTTGTTGTGAAGCAGTGTCCACAGCTGAGACAAGAGAGGAGACCCAGGTGGTGTCAGGAGTCAAGGTGAGGTGCATGCCCTGATGGGTTCCTAGGGTTCCACCTGTCCCAGAGCAGAACACCTCATAGTGCCCAGGCTGCATATGCCTTACCCTCTTCCCTAGTGCCTTGTCCCCTGCAGTTCAACTGCAGCCTGAGAAGCAGCCTCATTTCATTGCTCCAAAACCATGGGGACTGGGCCTCAGGAGGAGAGAAGCCTGTGAAACCCTAGGCCACCACCCAAGGGAAGGCCAACAGTGAGCTTCTGTGGGAGGCAATAAGTGTGCTGTGCTCACCTGGGAACACTAATATCTTCCCTCTCTCCTCCAGGCATCTGAGTCTTCAACAACAAGCTCTTGCTGTCTACACAGAACACCAAGATGCCTCATGGTCAGGGGAGCCCAGACAGAAAGCTCGGGAGTGGCCCTCCTCAAAGCAGTACACGGGTCCCCATGGGTGCGCAGGCCCTCAAGGATGAGGAGAAGGAAGCAGCAGCCAGCGCTTCCTCTTCATCCTCTTCCTCCTGTGCTGTAGTGGGGGCCGCAGCAAGAGAAGAGCCTGGGTCTGGGGCACCAAGTTGTCTTCAGGATCCTCAGGGCACTTCTTCTCCCCCGACTGCCTGTGGTTTTACTCCAAGGGGCCAATGCTGTGAGGGCTCCAGCAGGCAAGGAGAGGGGGGTGTGAGCTCCTCCCAGGGCAAGTATATCTCTCAGGTCACGCCGTATGAGATCCTGTATGACAAGTTAGATAAATTGCTGCCATTCGTGCTCCAGAAGTATCAAAAGAAGGAGCAGGTCACCATGGAAGAAATGGTGCACATTGTGGGCCATGATTACCAGGCCCGCTGCCCTCTGCTCTTTAAGGCACTCTTTGAGTTCATGTGCCCGAGCATTGGCATTGAGATGAAGGAAATGGATGCCCTTGGCCATACATATGAATTTGTCCCCATCTTGGGCCTCACTTATAATGGGCTACTAGATAACGAGGGCCAGACATTTCCTAAAGCAAAACTTCTGACAGTCATCCTGAGTATGATCACTGTAAAGGGCAACCGGCTCAGTGAGGAGGACCTAAGGGAACTACTGAGAAATAGCGAGGTATTAAGTGAGAGGGAACACTTTACTGGGGATCCCTGGAAATTCAGCACGGAGGATTTGGTAAGGGAAAAGTACCTGGTGCACCAGCAGGTTCCTAACAGTGATCCTCCTCGCTATGAGTTCTTGTGGGGCCCAAGGGCCCACGCTGAAACCACGGAGATGAAAATCCTACAGCATGTATTCAACTGTGATAGGGTAGATCCCAGTTATTACCTACATCTATATGAACAGGATTTGCAATGAAGAACGTGTTTTCAGGGCCCCTGACAGGCAGGATGAGTGACAGGGAAAGGGAGTATTCCACAGTCCCGTCACTGCTTGGGTTCCAGCCACGTGAATTGAGGTCAGATGTCAGTTACTATTTCTGGAAATCAGGCAGTTTTCTAAGCAGAAAGGGCGTAAATAGGATAAATGCCACCTTGATGTTTTTCTGCCTGGGTTATTAGTTAATGGATCTGTGATATCTGCAAATGTTATTTGAAGAATGATACTGATTTTCACATGAATTTTATGGGTTTTTAATTGATATTTAATTGTAATTTGTGGTGTGAATACTGTTTTGTTTTTCATTCTAAATGTAATGCCTTTCCAGTTTTCTCAAACGAACAGGGAATCCTTACATTTTATTTCTGATAAAATAGAATTGGAATAGGGATTTCCTTGGAAATGTGTAGGTTTGTATGAAGTTAGATGAAGACTAGAAATAGACATATGGGTAGAAATCAATTCCCAAATTCTTTTCCTTTTTCCCTATTGTTCTATACTATTAAAATATATATTTCTACTGAATATGCTTGGTTTGTTCAATTATAGTAGGGAAATTTACTGTCCATAAATAAGCCCACCTTCTCACAGGCCCATGGACCACAAACCTTTATTGCACTTATGCTCTTGATAGGGTCCTTTGTCTGTGGTGGAGACATGGGCACACAAAACCACGCAGGGTCAAAGTGACCCCATAGGATGATGGATTCCAGGAATCCCCCCAGTGTCGGGAGCTAGAGTGATGTCCTCAAGGAACTGAAAGGGAAGGCAGGAGAGACCTGAATGGGTGGATTCTCACGGGGAGCAGCCATGGGTGAGCGCAGAGCTAGGATACTTTTGGGTTTGGGTACTTTCAGCTGATTCTGCAGGAGCTGATTTTAATGCAGCTCCATGCTAGCCAGAGAAACATCCTCAGATGGAGTCCTGGGCTGAGATAAAACCCTGAGAGAAAGGAAAATGGCTTTTAGCACACTTTTTGATGGTGGATGTTGACAGGAGAAATCCTCACCTTGAAAAGATGAGAAGAGTGGTCCTAGGCAAGTAAGAACAAGGAGACTTATGTCCCACATCTGCAGGGACTTCCTGAGAGATGAAAGTGACTCTCAGGTAAATTGAGACTGTAAAGTCCTTGACCAGGTGCTCTGCACTCTGCTGGGAGTGTCCATTTTCCAGGGTCTTGCAGTGCCCAGTTGCCTGCTTTTCTGTGGACACCTTCTCCTCATGAGTCCACTTTGCTGCAAACACTCTTACAAGATGGACACGAGGATCTGGACACTGATGTTGATGTTTTACACAAGTGGTCAGGTGACTGGCTGACCAAGTATTTCTCCCTGCAGAGAAATTCTCAGTGTACACAGGTATCTTCCCCATCTTACTCCAGTACTGAATCTGGGAGAATTTTCAATCATTTCCTTTGTGAAGGAAGTTTATGCTAGTAATATGGGGATATATAATTTTCCTGAAGTTTCTTTGAATTGAAATTTCCTTTCAATTTCATTGAAATTACACCTTCAACTGTACTGAGCTGTCCTTGTCACTGGAATGGCCAGGGTTTCAGGCCTCGTTGTCATAGAACCTTTAGGATCCCCAAGACTAGACATTTGGTGAAGATGAAATGGCTGAAATCGTTTATTTTAATGGAAGAGAAATTGTCAGGGAGGGAAACATAGATCTTTAACCATATTCTACACGCTGAAAATTAGTTGGTCACAGCAGGGACAGATGCCCCAAAATCTAATCATGCAATACATTCTTATGGGGCATGATTTCTTTTTTTTTTTTTTTCCTATACCGGGATTCGAACTCATGACCTGGTGCTTGCCAGGCAGGCATTGTGCCTCTGAGCTAAATCCCCAGCCCCTAAGCCATGATTTCTGAGTAGCATTTTTGGCTCAATTTTTATACAGTTTCTTTGTGAGCTCTACCTTTCCTGGAAAACACACAATTTTTCCAGAAAAAAGAGTGATAGAATCAGAGATTAAGGTCATACTAGAAATCAGCTACTTATCAACAATTATTCAGCACACAGTATGTCAGACATTTTGTCCAGTATTTTCATACATTTCTTACATTGCACTGGTCCTACAGGCAAAAACTTGTGTCAAACCTATTTTATAGTTCAAGGACTTGAGGCCGACTGCACTTGGGAACTTCTCAGGTTCCCTGTGTAGTAAATGATGTGACCAGCACAACACGCTCAATGTGAGGTGATAGAGCCTCCTCAGTCTTTATTGTTCCCAACATGAACAGAGTTCTGTTTTTGAACTTATTTCTATTCTGGAGATATAAATAGTGTCTCCCCAGGTATAGAAAGAGCCTGTGTCCAAGGCACTGAAACATGGTCTGAATTCAGAATGTAAAACTGAGCAGGAGATGGGTGCACCCTACACCCAGTGGACTGGCCACAATCCCCTGTCCTGGCCCATGTCATGTAGAAGGCCCTGCCTGTTCCATTGCTAATCCTGGAAACCTTGTAATGTCAACCACCTTTTTGACATAAAAGTTAACTCTGGACTGTGATGTTTAGAAGCTGTATTATGTGTCTGCGAAGTGAAACAGCACACCACCAAATTGTTCAAAATGGGTGGTTAGCTGTTTGACATGCGGATGTGAACATATAGATATCATTACCTGAAGATGTCTAGTAGGAATTAGTTTCTGAAGTCCCTCCCGTATGTCTCAAGAAGACCCGAGGGTTTTACACAACAAAAGAGCATCACGAACAGGTTTTCCTTTCCACGTGAGACTGTCAAACAGACTCAGTTTAGGAGCTGAGCTGAGAGCAGGCACTGCATTTCCAGCATGGACAGCAGCCTTGATTTGAATGGAGGCTTCTAAGAAGAAGAAGAGTTCAAACTGCTCATTTCATAAAAAAAATCACAGCCTTTAGGAACTGCTGCTCAGGAGTCTAGCTGATTCCTAAAACAGTTCTTATGAGAAAGGACAGTGTACAAATACTGTGCCCTCCATTGCCGCTGGTGCCTACTCCCCAAAAGAAGTCTCCTGCCATTCCAGGCCGCCCTCAGTCCCGCTCAGCACCTGTGCTGTTCTCGGCACCGGTACAGCTCACTCAGGAACATATGCTTAGGGTCATCTCCAAGAGTACAAAAAGGAAAAAAGTGTTTAAAGCTAACTCAGGGGATGGAAGGGCCTATTTGCCTCAAATCGCCACCTCACATTTTAAAAAGGAGCATGGGCCTTACATAGTTCAAACCAGAGGGGAGGGGAAGCAGAGATGCCTCAAACGGTGACATCATCCTCTCCAAGTGGGTCAGGGCCTCGCGTAGTACAGAACAGATGGAGCAGAAACACTGAGATAGTGCAGATCCCCACTCCTGCCTTGTCACTTCCAGCACTCCTCAGCTCATCCTCCTCTATGCCAGGTTCCAGTCTCTCAGAGCTGCACATTCTGTCACTACTTTGGAGATGAGTACAAAAGGTGGTATTCATTATGAACTCAATAGGAAGAAGTTTGGAACAGTTGCTTGTTTGTGAAAAGGAAACTCTAAATTTTATACATTAATTTTCAATTACCAGTTGCAGTAGCTCACAGGGCAGTGTAACACAGATCTTCCTCCCTCAGCATTCCCTGCTCCTGGTCTCTGTGCCACTTCCAGCCTATGAAGAGTGACCTTGCACATTTACTAGAGAAACCAGGCAGGGGATCTCAAAGACATATTCAAGGGGATCACTAGGACGTCTCTTCTCTTGGTATAGAAGAGCATCACTGCCTTCTTATGGAGAAGAGGCTCATTGACCACTGACATAGGACTGCTTCATGCCACATTACTGAAAAACAATTTCTCCCTTACCATTTTGCACATTAGGCCACAAGCAAGTGCTGTTTCTTGCTGCATATGTAGTGTCTTCTACAAAGCAGGTAAGAGATGGTGTCTTGGTTACTTTTCTCTCGTTGCTGGCACAGAATACCTGATGCCCAAAATAAAGGAAGGAAAGGCTTATTTAGCTCACAGTTTGTGGAGGTTTCAGTCCATACTTGGTTGGCTCCAAGGAAGGTGGCATATGGCAGAGGGCAACAGTTCATGATGGCTGAAAACAGCAAAAGCAACAAGAGCAAAAGCAAGGAGCAGCAGAGGCAAGCAGCCTCATTCCCTCCCTTACACTGCAATGCAAACTACCCTCCCCAGGGTAGGTGTAGTACTCACATCCATAATTGCAACATTGGACCATGAATCAATCATAAACTCTAAAAGCCCGCCCCATGACTGCATTTGTCTTTGGTTTTTTGTTTTTTTTTTTTGTTTGTTTGTTTTTTTTTTTTGGTTTTTCTCCGGTACTGGGAACCGAACTCACGACCTTGCGCTTGCCAGGCAGGCGCTTTGCCACTGAGCTAAATCCCCAGCCCCTTTTCTTGTTTGTTTGTTTTTTGTTTTTGTTTTTTTTTGTGTGCATTTGTCTTTGGGGAGACATCCATACACAAACCTTAACAGATGGTACACAGCATGGGGGTTACAAGAGATCTTACTAGGAAAATCACAAACACTACTTCCCTCCACACCATAGTGGAATATGTTGCTTCCAACCCTAAGATGTAGGCACCTCTAGGCCTCTAGAATAATAAAAACTCTAGCCCCACTCTCAATGGTGAAATATTGAAATTCCCCAATGGCTATTGACATGGATGCTGCTGAGATGTCTAACACTTCCATCAACAAGAGAATCTCTCCTGCTTCCCTTGAGGAAACACATCACATCTTTCACAACCACCTCAACCCTGGAAATCACCAGTATGCTATTCATTTATATAATTTGGTCATTCAAATAATGCTATCAAATGAATTCACAATGATATGTAAGTTTCAGTAGTGTTTTCTTTAATATTATTACAATGTTCTTGTAATTATCTGGAGATTCACGGAGCTCTAGAAATATATGAAGAGTCCATTTCTTTGCAGTGCTGAGCAGTAACCCAAGGGTGGGTGTATCAATGATTTTGCTTCTTGTCTAACCATTATTCCATCTAAGGACATCTAGGCTGTGTGTTTCCAGTGCTTCACTGTTATAAATGAAGTGGCCCCAAACACACTCACACTGATTTAGGGTGAACGTACTTGCTGGTTCTCTGGGATAAATGCACAGCAGTGTATTTGCTAGATTGTACAGTGATTGAAGGTT